GAGGGGGGCTGTGGCCCCCAGAGGACACAGTTTCCGTCAGGGCTGGCTTCTGCCGCCTCTTGCCCCCCTAGATGAGCTTCTCCTCCTTCTGCGACAAGTTCGACTTCTCCATCTGTCTCTCATCCTCTGGTGCCACTGCCTCCTCCCCTGCCTCCGTCTTCCTGCCTGAGGCCGGGGTGTCCCCGGCGATGGTCCCCAGGACTTTGGTGCTGTGCTCCTGAGCTTTGGCCCTGAGGGCAGCAATGCTGTTCTCTCTCAGTTCCTCTTGGGAAATGGTGGTTTTGGGATCCGGGCCCCTCTCTTCCTTGTCACCCTTGTCAAGCTTGGGCAGGGCCTGGCGCTCCACCTCCGTCTTCCTCCCCGCCTCAGCCGCTGCCTCCAGAGACTTTTTGTGCATCCCTAAAAAGAATTGTTGGTATTCGGGTTTAGAAAAGCGCCTGGGCATGGGAAAGCCATCTTGAACTGAAAACAGCAAAGATAAAGAGAGGCCAGAATTAAGGAAAAGCAGACACCCTCGCTTCACGCAGCAGTCACGGCAAGCCGCTCGCTCTCACGCACCAGTCCGGGCAAGCCGCTCGCTCTGGCCCCCGCGCGAGGCAAGGCAGCTGGCTACTGGGGCAGCCTGGCCCCAGCACCCGTGGCCTCGGAGCTGCCCCAAAAGGTCTATAATTACTCTCTCCTTCATTTCTCTCTGTGAACCTAAAGCTGACTTGTCCTTGCGTGGGGACGAGGGTCTCGGACAGCAGTGCAGCTGCCTGAGCTTCACTGAGGCTGGGGAGAGAGAGAACCCCCATTACAGAATCACAGAATAGTAGGGGTTGGAAGGGACCTCTGTGGGTCATGTAGTCCAACACCCCCTCCCCCGTCCTTAAAGCAGGGTCACCTACAGCCGGCCGCACAGGACAGGCGGGTCTTGAATATCTCCAGAGAAGGAGACTCCACAACCTCCCTGGGCAGCCTGGGCCTGGGCTCCATCACCCTCAGAGGGAAGAAGTTCTTCCTCATGTTCAGACGGAACTTCCTGTGCTTCAGTTTGTGCCCATTGCCCCTTGTCCTGTCATTGCCTGTTCCCATATCGACCTGGTCCTCACACAACCCACCCCTCTGCCTCTCTCAACTTCACACAGAAGGAAAGGACAGCCCATCCTCAAGATGCCTAGTTTTGGGGCACAACCAGCCTGAAAGGTCAGAAAGTGGGAAGCAAAGAGCAGGAGCGTGGTAGGGTAGCTGCTACCTCCGTGTCTGCACAGAAAACCAAGCAAAACCAGGCAGAAATGCAGCTCCCCCAGGTGCCAAGAGCAGGAGGCCGCAGCAGCGTGTTCCCCCTGGGATTTGGGCAAGGAGAGCGCATTTGGGGGTCCCGGCACCCCACACAGTGTCACGGGGCTGAGGCAACTGGACTGGGATGACCTCGTGCCTTGGGCGAGGGTTGGAGCTCTTGCTCCAGGGCTGGGCACGAGGGATGCTCGCACCATGGCAGTCGAAGGCTGACACCAGCCTGAGCATGGGGGACAAATTCCTGCCTCAGCCAGATCCCACAGGTCAGGATCCAAGGACCAGCAGGGATTTGGGATGAGTGGTCAGACCCTATTGATGAGGGGCCATTGGGAGACAGGGGTTGGGGGGCAGTGGGGCGAGGTCCCCCTGCCTTGCACGCCCTTCACCCGTGTTTTGGACACGGCTCCATTTTCTTCCTCACATCCCCCCATTTGTCTCCACCCACTCGTCAAACCCCACGAAGGCAGCTGCTTTCTTACCCAGGAGCCAAGGGGCACAGGACTCCATGATGCCATCCTTGGCAGACTTGAGGATGGACTCGGGCAGCGGGATGGAGTGACGCACCATGGCACCGTAGAGCCCATACTCAGCCATCACGCTGCTCCTGCCCCAGCACTTCTCCCTCTTCCGCCACTTGGCCCGGCGGTTCTGGAACCAAACCTGGGGCGAGCGACAAGGAGGGACATGGGGTTTTTTGGGGGGACAAGGTGCATCGGTCCCCTTCCTGCATGGGAACACATGCATGCTTGTGCAGCAGGATGAAGGTGGATGTGTGAATGCTCATCCTTCAAAGCACTGCGACCTCTTCCCCCATGCAGCAGCCACCGGGTATCTCTGCCTCCCTCCCTCGCAGGAGTGACGAGGGCCAAGAGCGAGAGCAGGTCCCATCCCTCTCTGCAGGATGTAATTAATTTGCCATCGAGGCATCTTTTTCTAGCGGCTTTTGGCTCTCGTGCCTGGGATTTTCTTTCATTATTTACTGGGTGTCTGAGCTGTGGCGCAGGGCTGCGGGCAGCGGTGCCTGCAGGGACGGCTGGGGTGGGGGCGGATGCTCGGGAGAGGCGGGAGAAGGGGGAAGCTGATCTGTGTGCTTTGCCCTGAATTCCCAGTTTGAAGAGCCCCTCATCTTCTCAGAAAATTGGCAGAATAATCTCTGAGCTGTGACCTGGGGGGGGCAGCGAGCATAGAGGTGGGCGGCGATGGTGGTGGGGGGGTGATGCTCGCAGAAATCTATTAGCGCTCTCTCTCCGATTTCCATTCCTCTTGTCTCCCTCGCCCTCCTCCCTCCCTGGCTCCCCCCCTTCCCCCCGAGCAGAGGCATCAGCTTTAGATGAAAAATTGCTTGAGGTCTATTCAGAAGGAGGCAAAGGAAGAGTCAGCCCCAGGGGCAGCCCAGGCCTGATTGAAAAATAAGTTAATTTCAGTTTGAATCGATGGGCCTCAGGCACTGAAATATCACGGGAAATTAAAGCAGCTGGTCCCCAGGGAGCCACGCCATTGACCTGCGCTAATTAATGCCATGGAGTTACCAGGCCCCTCTCTGAGAGGCAGCCCCTCCCTCCCCACGGACACCCCAAACACCTCCTCATTTAACTAATTAGACTCACAGAAAATTGGGTGTTAATTTGTTTAGGATCTTTTTTTCTTTTCTATTTTTTTTCCCTTCCTTTCCCGGAAAGTACATGGCAGAATGGAAATGAATGGCGGGGTCTCGCTGGCAGATGGATGCTCGGGGTCACTCCGCAATCTTCTCTGACTTGATTGCTTGATTAGGTCGTTAGCACATTAAAAAAAAAAATTGCTTGCCGTCTGGCGCTGGCCTGATGAGTGGGATGAGGCGGGAATCGCCTGGGTAATTTATCTTTTTATACTGCAAAGAATTTGATTTCAATCTGCAGATATATGGAGGTGCCTTTGACACCTGTTTAACATTACAGAGCTGACAGCTTAACCCTCTCTTGTCCCCGCTGCCCGTAGCCGTGGGGGAGCTCGGGCTGCAGTGGGGAGCACTGGGGGACTGGGGCAGACCCCCAGCTCTGTCGCGGGGAGGACGAGACTGATGCCGCGAGTGATGTCCTGCTCTTAGCTGGCAAGGCAAGCTCCCCGCTGCTACCTGTGCAGAGAGGCACTGCCCAGCACGACGCCCTACGGGGACAGAGCTGCTGGGTACGCGGGGGGCTTGCTAGCGCTGGTGACAGCCAGCCTCGGCCATTCCTGGGGGCCTGGCCCCGCAGGGAGCTCTGCGGGGTGGCTGGGGCGGTGGTTCCAGCAGCTGTGATCCCAGTTTCTCCCAGCAGAAGACACTCTGTGCATGTCAGAGGGGATTTTACAGCCACGATGCCTCGCTGCACATCAGCTCCACTGCATGATAAGCAGTCTGATTTGCACTTTCATACTGCTGCTACATAACCCCTGGACCACGGATGGCTGCGAATTCACCGGGTCCTGAGCAAGGACCCTCAGGGGTGCATGGCTCTTCCTCCATGCCTACCCACCACACGGGTTTGCTCAGCCGTGCAGTCAGCAGGATGGGGGCAGGGTCTCTCATTCTAGGCCAAGCGCTCCTCCTGCACCCAAAGCCCGGAGAGCAGAGCTGGAAGGGACTGGCTCACTCCCTCTCCAACCTCAGCACAAACCTCCATGGTTCCTTCTCGGCCACCCCCAACACCTCCATGCTGCGAGGGGGCAGCTCGACCCACCGGAGCCAGGAGACAGATGGATCCCGCCTGTTCTGCCCCACATAAACCAGCACAGTTACACCCCTTGCCACAGAGCTCCTCTCTATCTCCCTTGGCTTCAGGGAGCAATTCCTGCACAACCCAAGGGATGGCACCTGCAAATCTGCCTTGGTCTGGGGCTGCAGTGGCACCTTTCCATGTACCCAGAGTGGCTTGCAGGGCTTGGCTCTGCACAGCTGTTTTTGTCACCAGTTGCCACACCTGGGATCTCAGCCAGGATGGGGCTTGATGCCCCAAGCATACTCCCCCATGCCTCATGCTCCCCTGCCCTGCTCCCTGTCCCAGCCCTGCCCACTGCCACTAAACCTGCTGCCCTGGACAATCCCCTTTCCCACGGCAAGGCCACACAAATGCTGGGGCCAGCAGAAGCTTTGCCAGCTGGCAGCCCAATTTTGACTAGAGCCGGCGGAAAATTTTCAATCAAAAATCGCTGATTCAATTGCACAGGAAAAACTGCATCCGGCCAGTGGAAAAGTAATCAAAATTATCTATGGCTGTCTTCTGGATGTTGTATTTTAATCTCGGCTGATGAAGACATGCAAAATCTATGCTCTAAATCCAAATGGGAAAATCAAAAGGACAACAACACCTTAGTAAGATCATTCTGACATTTCCTCAACCGTTTTTTGTCATTTGATGGGAATTTCCTCTTGGTTTTGACTTGCAAAAAGGAAACTTTGAATTTCTAGCAGAACAAAAATTGGAAGGGTTGGCCATTTTATTTTAAGACCGGGAGCCATATCTTGATCTCAGGAATGAAGTGAAACTAATTGTGTTCAATACTGAATATTGCTGGGATCAGACCCCAGCCCAGCACCTCTGCCACAAGCCCGTCCTGAGCAGCACGGAGCGAAGAGCTCCAGCACAGCGCTGGCAGCCCTCATACCATTTTGGATCAGCAGAATTACTCCACATGGCCCATTTTTGGGATTTTGCCCTCACTCAGATGGCTCCGTCAGTGGGACTTTCTTCTGGCAGAAGATTTCATTGCTTTCTTCAGATTTCTTGACACATTACCAAAATTTCCCCGTGCCTTGACTCTGAGCTGAATTATGCACTAGTTTTAGTAATTCTGAGGTATTTTCAGCTGTGTTGGTACATCAGTCACAACTTCTGAATATTTATTACAGGCACCTCAATTTTCCTCCCTTAACTGGAAAGGGTTTCAACCTTACACTTGTATTTACTCACAGTTTTGGTATTCTGTGTCTTCTTTGGCTGCTTGTTGTCTTTGCTTGGAGATATTTACTCTACAACTTCATCTCATTCTGTAAAACTCAGTCTGCTTCAAGCAGTGTTTAGGTTTGTTCATGTTTCCTCTTGCTGCTTCCCATCATGTGGGTCTGCTCAGCTTTGTGAAATTCTTTATTGATGTGGCTGTGTACGACGCAGCATCCTTCTCCTTTGCTTTCATCTGGTTCTCCATTGCACAGCCCAGGGTATGGTGAAAAGATTGTGTCTGCACTTCCACATTTCATAAGCAGTGGTGAAAACCCCTGATTAATTTTAGACTGAAGCATGTCAGATGTTTGTGCAAAGCTATGACAATCTGATGTGCAGTGTTCTCTTGGACCAACAGGCTACATCTTAAGATGAGGTACAGCTTTTTATTATCACACAAGCACCCTCTGTGAAAGATGGGGGGGCTTGTTCCAGGAACCCTGTCCTCAAAAAATGGACAACAGAGTAAAGAGGACAGTTTTGTCTTGCTATCCATGAGGCATGTTAGCATCTGAGTTCAGCCTATGTGTGTGCACTTTCTGTTTAGCAGCTCAAAGACCTCTCCTGGGCTGCTCCTGGGGCACCACAAGTGCCACCTTTGGCACACCAAGGGCTGGATCTGGGGTGGTCACTGCCATGGCTGAGGTGGGTGCAGCAGCCAAGCACACCTCTAACAAGGCTGCCAGACACCCTCCGTGCACCAGTGGCAGGAGAAGATGCTGCTCACTGCAGTGTGCTGCAAGTTGGGCATGGCTGCACACCCTGCAGAAACTGCAGACTCTTGCATATCCACAGGTTTTGGTCCTTTAGGCATAGGAAAACTGCAAAACCAAAACCTATTGGCTTCAAAACCTGTTCTCCATAAGAAACAGGCAAATAGAGGGTGATAACGCAACACCTTGCTCAGAGATGATCTGCCCATCAACTCAAGCCCTAAAATTTGGTCAGAGCTGAGCATCACCCATGCTCTAACCCTGCTGTGCACATCACACTGACACTGTCTCCTCCAAGAGCAGCCACAGTGTATGAGCCAAGATAGCAGTCAACACCAGCACCTTCAGCGTCATCTCTTGGATGCTGCTCCTGCTGAGGCCCCCTTACTAAAACCAGCAGTACTGCAAAGCCTTACAAATGGGGAGGTTTCTAACCTTCATCATCATCTAATTCTCACCCTCAGTGCCCACTGCCCAAAGCAGTAAAAGCTGAGGCACTCTGTGCTCAGCTGCAGGGTTGCAGTGTTTTGGAGTCAAGACTGGCAAGGTTATTCTTGCCAGTTTTCTTCTCTGAATCAGAAATGATGACCGATACTTGTTCAGATTATTGATGATGCAGAAGAGCAAATTGTGGTAGGAGGAGTCTGTCATTTTGCAAAGGGACGTGAGACTCAGTGTATCCTTGTTATCCGCATTCATCATATTAGTTAGTTTGTTTACCTAATCAGCTCCTGAAACAAGGTCTGCTAGAGAGCGAAATCTCCCTGAGCTTGGCCGTGTGCCAGGAATCTGAATTAGCAAAGGGATATTTTAAGGCGTCTAGGGTGTTACTGTGTATTGTTTCAACATAAAGTTTTCACTGTTTACACTCATTTTCTTGGCTGCTACTTTCCAAGCTCGGGTACACAGACAGGAGAATTGGTTTTGTCTTTCTAATTAAAAAAAATGTTGTTTTCTGTGCACATGCATTTTTCATTTCCTGAAGGAA